GACAGTCAGACAGTCCAATCAGGGGGGGTTCGCAATTTCGCGGCCTGGTACCAAACAACCCACGGCCCGGTACCAGTCCCCGGCTCAGGGGCTGGGGACCCTGATCTAAAGCATCATCTTAGAAGGACAATGGACACGAACTGTACACTTTGAACTGAAAAATGAAACCACCTCTCACTTATTTTGGACCTGCCCAGACTCTGAGTGTTTTTGGAAAGAATTCATAAAACATCTACACAACTTCTTATCTCATTTGACCCTTTCTGATGAAGATGTGCTGTTTGGTTTTTGCAGTGTGCATCATAAACACTGAGACCAAACCTACGAACTCCAGGTCTGTTTGTGCTGATGAAACATTAAAATAGTTGGAATATAAGCATTCATGTGTTGTAGTTCCAGCTAAGACAGTTTTTTTTTGTGGTCAGATTGTGTTAAAACAAAGCACAGAATAAGTTCCAGTTGGAGAATTAGACAGCTGACAGTTCATTACGGATGGATAAAACATGCAGACATATTAATGACTAGTCTGAGTGTTTTTCATGGACAGATTAACTCCCTCCCACGTGTATTCTCCCTCAGAGCTCAGATTCAAACTACAAAGTAAACTAATGAGTTGTCTTTGATATGAAGCATGGACACAGATATGACTCACACAAGCAGATACATGATTAATAAATACTATGAGAGAAATCATTTGCGGACTGAGAGCCACATCCAGATAAATGACTCTTGCTAATAAAAAGTTAGCTTTGGAAATGAAAACGCGGCGTCCAATCAGAATCCCAGCAGGTGTCGTACGCAGATACCAACCCGCGCGGAGCTGTGAGTTTAAGCTGGTTCTAAACACAATGGGAAATCATTTAACGCTGATTCTCTCGGCCTGATATGACTTCAGTCGGGGGTGTGGCCATTTACAATATTTAGTTGTATTTCATTGGCGTCTTGTTGGTGCCGGGTTTTCCAAATGTTTTAAAGCAAACTACAGTAGATATAATCAGTGTTGGGAAGGTGACTTTTAAAATGTATTCCCCTACATATTACAGATTACATACCCCACAGTGTAGTTTGTAATGGAATCCATTAAATTACTTAAAGTGAGTAACGTAATCTGAACACTTTGGATTACTTGATATTTTGTAGAGTAGCAAAGATGAGGATATTTTCACATAAGATGTTTTGTTTTATCTGCTTAAAGACAATAAAAAGGTGAGTCTTTCCTTCACTGTATTAAAAATATTATTGATAGAAGAGGAGGAGACACGGTCCGCGCGGCATGATTTAGTCCTGGTAAATCCTGTTTTAGTCCTGATTTAGATCTGGTTTAGACCTGGTTTTAGCCCTGGTTTAGACCTGGTTTTAGTCCTGGTTTAGACCGGTTTTAGTCCTCGTTTAGACCTGGATTTAATCCTGGTTTAGACTTGGTTTAGTCCTGATTTAGACCTGGTTTTAGATCTGGTTTTAGTCCTGGTTTAGACCTGGTTTTAGTCCTGGTTTAGACCTGGTTTACTCCTGGTTTAGACCTGGTTTTAGCCCTGGTTTAGACCTGATTTAGACCTGGTTTTAGTCCTGGTTTAGTCCTGGTTTAGACCTGGTTTAGATCTAGTTTAGACCTGGTTTTAGTCCTGGTTTAGTCCTGGTTTAGATCTGGTTTAGACCTGGTTTTAGTCCTGGTTTAGACTTGGTTTTGGTCCTGGTTTAGTGTCCGGCAATGAGTGGAATTACCAAAAAAAAAAAAAACACACACGGAGCAGACAGTGACCGCACAGCGAAAACACACCCACAGACACACTCATCACTCCACGCCGACGAGGAACGGAACGGAGGAACGAACCGAAAAAGCGAGTGCAATGTGCCACTTCTAGACACAACTGAACAACTGAGTCACTGCGAACACGCCGACAATCCGTTGGTCCCAGACAGCACCCTCCCTACACGCCACAACTGAACAAAGCCCAGAGTCACCGTGAACGCAACAAACAAAGTCCCACTGACCCATCCAACTGTTGTGTTTCCTTTAAAGTCTGGTGCGGTTTATTTGTGAAAAAAGTTCAAAAATAGACCATTTAATGACAGTGTGTCTTATAATCCAGAGCAACTAATAGCCTGGAAAACACTGTACATTATGATCTTGTCGTCCCTCTCTCTGTACCGGCTGCAGTGAGTCTTGTCATTTTGGTCTTAAAATGTTCGTATTAACCCACGACACATGATCCCAATTTTTGTCAGTCAAAAAAATCCTATTCATAACATAGAGTCTGGCTCCAGATTCGCTCATCTAACAGTTAACATCGCGAGCCTCATTTGAGCGGCTCTGAACGCTGTGGGTGACGTCCCACTCACTTAGTCCACTTCTTTTATACAGTCTATGGTGTTGGGTTATTGAAAGACAAACTCTCTCAGTAGATTTCAGAGTTCTGCCCCCCACACAGACGTTTACTGAACTCAGGACTTTTCTCCTTCTTCTCAGTGCTGAATAGAATTATATCAACAAGCAAACACAAACACAACACTGATCTGGCTGATATAAACAAAATATATCATTTAGAATATAAATGGTAAAATGTTTGGAGAAGGCCTTGAACAAATACAACATTTGTATAAAGAAAATATTTAAAATGCATATTATTGCAAACATTGATTTTCACTTAATTAGAACCAATCCCAGAAGGACATATTTACCTTGTTTACTACAGTTTCTAAATTTGCAATATTAATGAAGCTGAATAATGTATGTTTATTTAATTTAATGTAACCAGCTGCTCTAAATTCAAACTCTTCTGATATATTCATTTAATATGCTTTTTCAATATTTATTCATTTCATTATTATTTCAATATTTATTTATTTCATTTTAAAGTTATACGGAAGAACAGAATTTTCCTGGGCTCTGTTCAGGTGACCATGATTAAAGCAACAATATAGAATCAGAATGTTGCTTTGACCCAATCCTGTGAAGTCATGTCCATTCTGACTCCAAACCTCCTTGAGAGGTTGTATATTTGCCATTTGTCACTTCACCCACATTGCCTAGTATGAAGGTGGTGTGTGTGTGAGTGATGGTGGTGATCGGAGGCAGCCTCGCTTCCATCAGTCTGTCCCAGGGCAGCTGTGGCTACAGTAGCACTTTACCACCACTGATTGTGGAGTGAATTAATAATGCTCTGTAAAACATCTCTGAGTGTCCAGAAAAGCGACATATAAAACTGATGCATTATTATGATTATTAGTATTAAAATAATGCAGAAGAAGACATGTAGTCTCATGGGAGCAGCTGCTTCTGTGGCTCCTTTAAACTCTCTCTTATGCTGTAATTGCCTTGTGTGTGTAAATGTGTAGTACAGAGCTAAAGCTAAATGTATTTGTGCTGATGTCAGCCTGTCCACCAACTGTGAAGTCAAGAGATTTGGTTTGGTGAGTGCAAACACAAGCTCCTCAGGTCAGCTGTATGAAGACCAGGGGCATGAGTTGGACGTTGTACTAAATGGGACAATTGATTTCACAGCTGAAGGGTCCCACCTCTTCATGGTGACATTTGACTGTAGTAAACAGTTCATTTTCCTTCATGTCTTTATTTTATGAAAAATGACCAGACAACATTTTTGAACACTACATTTATGACCCTGAGTTGCAATTTTTCAATTCTCGCTAAGCACAGAGACGTGGGCGGAGACAGAGGAGGACAGAGGAGGACAGAGAGGGACGTGAAGACAGAACGTTTTGGAGCACTCAACCTCAATTTCAGGATATTGCAAATTTTCAAAGCCAACTGTGCATAATATGTTCTCTTTAAGTAAACTAATGTGTGACAAGATAAACTGTCAGTGTGAATGTGGCAGGAGTATGTATTCTGTAAGCAGTGTTGGAGAGTAACAGATTACATGTATCAGAGTTAATTAAAAAATTAAAATTAACTGTATTCAGTTACAGTTACTGTTTCAGTGAGTGGTAATTGGATTACAGTTACTTTGTTGAAATAAATGGATTACATGGCAGTATTTTCCTATTTTCACATTTTGGGCTATATCCCCCTTTTTTTTTTTTTTTTTTTAGTAATTCCACTCATTGCTGGACACTAAACCAGGACTAAATCAGGATTGAACCAGGACAAAAACCAGGTCTAAACTAGATCTAAACCAGGACTAAACCAGGACTAAACCAGGACTAAAACCAGGTCTAAACCAGGTCTAATCCAGAACTAAAACCAGGTCTAAACCAGGTGTAAACCAGGACTAAAACCAGGTCTAAACCAGGGCTAAAACCAGGTCTAAACTAGATCTAAACCAGGTCTAAACCAGGTCTAAGCCAGGTCTAAACCAGGTCTAAACTAGATCTACACCAGGACTAAAACCAGACTAAAACAGGATTTAACAGGACTAAATCATGCTGCGTGGACGTGTCTCCTCTTCTTCTATCAATAATATTTTTAATATTCAGGAAAGTCTGGGCTTTTTATTGTCTCTTAGCAGATAAAACATCTTATGTGAAGATATCCGAGTCTTTGCTTCTCTACAGAAAATCAAGTAAGTAAGTCCAAAAGTATTCAGATTACATTACTCACTTTAAGTAATGTAATGGATTATGATACAAACTACATTTTGGTGTGTGTAATCGGTAATCTGTAGGGGAATACATTTTAAAAGTCACCTTCCCAACACTGTCTGTAAGTGTTAAGAGTTGAATATCAGCAAATACAAATATAATGTGTTCTCTTAACCCGGGCTCAGACTGCATGCGTGGCAGTCTGGTGGTGCCGGGGGAGGTGAGGATATGGTTCTGTAGATTCTTTCCTTTGGGAGTTAGTTCTGGCGTGAACTCATGGTGTGAGTGCAACACCATAACAAAACCACATTGGAGTCGCACCTGGACCGTGTGCAGTCTGAGCGCGGTGTTAAGAAGAAATAATATCATTTTCCATCACCTCTTACACGTACCCCATCTTAAACCCCGGACCTGGTTTATTCACAGAGAGCAGAGCGGCGGTCCACCTGAACTGCACTCACCCAGCGTCCGTGCTGTGACGATCTCGCTGTACGGCCCCGTGCCTATCTTGTTCTTGGAGAGCACGCTGAACTGGTACACGGTGCCCGGAATCAGACCCTCCACCTGCAGACTGGTGCCAGAGGAGAGGGGCACGTCCACAGAGAACCACTGCTGCTTCTCATCGCTGCCCCCTGCTGTCACATTCTTCACCCTGAACACACATACAGACACACAGAGCTCCGCGGTTAGAACGGCTGCACGGAATATCAAGAAAATATTCATTAGAACAACATATATGGCAAGAGACTAAATATATTGTATTCATTATTTCTGTCTCAAATAAATGCACATTATTTTTTACTGAAGAAGATTTTAAACATGGATCATCAAAGTTAATCAGTAGCATCTTTCCACGCTACATGACCTGAACAAAGACGGAGCATCATAACTGGCCCAACTCACTGCTGTAGGAGTTTGAGTTTAATGAAGTCGTTACAAAGCCTGAATCTTAATACTGTTTTTTGGTTATGAATGAACTCTCTGTCCATGTTTTGTTAAGACTACTAAAAGAGTAGTCATTAGTTTTTTAGGCATTCTGTCAAGTAAATTAACACATATCTGAGTATTAACTGCTAACACATAACATATCTAGATCATCATGTTACCTTTTATTGTGTTGAAAATGCTATATTTGCAGAAAACAATGTATTAACAGTTTTAATCAGTTTCACTTTCATTGTTGTAGAGCAGGGGTGGGCAAACTTTTTTGTGGGCCACAAAGGGTTCTAAAATTTGACGGAAGGGTAGAGTTTTTTGGTAATTCACCTCATAAGCAAAAAAAAAAATAACATGGGATAAGTAGAAAACATTTTATTGAAATATCCCATAACTGAAAATAATTACAAAGCATTACAACAAAATATTTGTCTTTCAAGTGCCACGGTATTTGCTTTTTATTGAAATGACTTTTAAAACACTGAAAATGATTTTGATTATGATTAGTATTACTCAAGTTCAGCGGGCTGGATTAAAAAGATAGAGGGGCCACATATGGCCCCTGGGCCGTAGTTTGCTCACCCCTGTTGTAGAGTATTGTTTTCTATCCTGCTTGAGTATATTTATGAAGAATTGGGTGACATCGGCTTGTGGGCGAAGCAATGGACAGAATCGTACAGATAACGGTAAGGAGGGTTCAGGAGAGATCGCTAGATTACTCAAACATGCATTGATGACATATAAGAACACTTAAGGCATGTTTTTGATGAGGGAACAAAGTCTCTTTAATTCAGTATAGTTGGCCTGCGGAACATAAATGGGCGTTTCTTCCCTAAACTAGAACACCGCCTGTTTTTAACTTGTGTCCCCTTATATTGTACAACCTCCTTTCTTCAGTATTTTCAACACAGTAATATTTCTGCTGCTGTAAGTGCATCATTTGGCTATGAAAAAACTGCATTCATGACAAATACTTGTATTAACGCTGTCTGTAAGTTTAATTTATTTGTAAAGTTTGTAAGGTCCTAATACTCCGGTGCGACTTATACATATTAAAATTCAGACTGACAGCCACGAGAAGGTGCTCTAAGCTTGTGTGCGCATGTCTCCTGCAGAAAGAGCCGTTGTCCTGCTGGAAGTAGTGAAATATTCAGCCGAAAACGGTAATCGAGCAGCAGAAAGAAAGTTTGGAGTGAACGAGAAACTTGTGAAGGACTGGCAGGAAACGGTGAAGGAGAACACAGCTTCACGGGAGGATCCACCGTGCAACTTTCCTGGAAGTCACTGGATGGATGGACAAAGCCTGGACTTCAGTGACACTGAAACCATCCTGTCGGGATTCAGAAAGGCCCAAATAATTCTCACTGGAACTGATGCTGAGTCTGACGACAGCTACACAGAAGAGGAACTGAAGCTCCGGTTACCTCTGGAGGTCACGATGTTACTCAGAAGTAGGAATGGGTATAATTAGTCGATTAATCGATAATTGATCATTAAGAATTTCATCAGTTATGTTCATTTTAATCGACAAACCGAATGTAGGCTGCTCTGCATAGTGTAGGGTGACCAAACAGGGGTCTGTATATGTAGCTCTCTGCACTCAGAAGGAGCACGCAGACAGTCAGTCAGCCTGCAACGTGCAGAAGTGCAAATGTGTATTTAATGATGACTTGTACAAAAAATTCCACACTTTCCGTTCCGGTCGGGACAAGTGGGAGGCCATGTGCACAGTGTTTCGGTGTCCAGTGGGGAAAAGTTTTGCCAGGTGAGAGTAGCACAATGTCGATGACGAGTCCCCACCTCCCTCCCCCCGTACGGTGTCCTGGTTTTGACAAACGCAAATATGGTCACACTAACCTGTATTCCAGTGAGTCGTGTCGCATCAGCGCACAAGAGCTGTTTTTTTCTTCACTTAGTTTATGCAAATTAGCCATGTGGTTTTAAGTTTCGTTTCTGTGAGACTTGCTCAAACTGCATTAAACACACTATAAAGTCAAATGGATTGATGTGGCTCTAGAGTGGTTACGGTTTATATGTCGTAAAGTTGAATTTATTTATGCAGATTAGTAGTGCAAATAGTAATAATAATGATGATAATTTTAATATAAAAATGTTAATGATTAATCAATAATCGACTGTTAATTCTCCCGTTGACTGATTAAGAAAATTTAATCGAATGCCCATTTCTGCTCAGAAGTGACACCGAGGATGAAGAATTGAATGGATTTAGTGATTTGGAGTGAGATGGAGAGTTTGGTAAACTTGTTCTGTTCTGTTGTTTATGTTATATTTATCTGAAGAACTGTTCATATGTGACGTTAACAGTCTGTTGTTCTCTGTTCTATTGTTTTTACTACAACTTGACTTTCAAAATGAAATGTCGGGTCCTGGTCTCTGATTTTATAAAATAAATTTACTCCAAAAAGTGCGACTTATATGTTTTTTTTTTCCTTCTTCATTATGCATTTTTTGGCCGGTGCAACTTATAGTCCAAAAAATACTGCAATATAGGACCTTTAAATCAAAAGAACCCCACACCGCTCCTTTTCGCCGCATCAGTAAAAGTAGGACACATTAAACATTCAGACTCATCATGGGCTCGAGATTTGGTGAGAGACAGTGCCGGCCACTCAAACTCCAATTATACCAGGTTTTCATGTTCTTCTGAGAGCGGCTCTGACCTCGGGCTGCACGGAGCTCCTCACCTATTGAAAAGGTGATGAGAATTATTAATGGAGGAGAAAGAAAAGGGGTCTCTTTGAAAACTTTGAAGATGACAGTTTGGACTTAACCAAGACGCCCTGTTCTTTTAAAAGTAGAACATATTTCGTTAAGTTAAGCGCGCGGTGACAAGAGTGAAGCTTTTCTTTCGTAGGGAGCAAGTGATACAGCGGTGTCTATATATTTTTTATACTCTACTTCAGGTTTCATATCGTTTTAAGTTTATCTGGTAGGGTTTAAAAGCATGCCTCCTTACTGTAACTGGGCTCGCCTCTTCATAAACCTGGTTTGTAACTGCACTTTTAAAGGTCCTATATTACGCAAAATGGACTCTTGTGAGCTTTAAGCCATGTTATATTCTTGTTACGTCATCAAAAACAGACCTGAGTTATGTTTTGTTTCATTCACACATGTTAGAGTTACTTTTTTTTTTGTCTGTCTACATCTCCAAAGCTCAAAATGCTCAGTTCCACCTTGTGATGTCATGTAGTAGTAGTTTTCAAGTTAACAGCTCCTTTTGCCTTTTGATCCAAGGCTGAAATAATCTAAATCAAGGGTGCTCACACTTTTTCAGCATGTGAGCTACTTACAAAATGACCAAGTCCAAATGATCTACCTAATACAAAACCAAGCAAACTGCACTGAAAAACTCTGTGCCCCTTTTTTGGACCCTCACCCACAGTTTGAGAACCTCTTCTTTAAGAGAACTTCCTCTGGCACTTTACACAAAACTGTGAAAAAAAAGTGAGTAGGAAGATTTTTAAACCTGTTTTTTTAAAGTTCCAAACTGGAGTTGCATTCTTTTCTGGTTTTGCAGTGATATTTACCAGCTCCTGCACGTTTACCAAACCAAACGCACATCGTGACAAACACAGATGCATTTGTGCACTTTTGTTAGGCAAACTTCAGCCAAATGTGGCAGTAGGTCTGTTCTGTAGATCCGCTCTATGCTGTAGACCTGCTTTGTGCCAACACTGGAACACAAATTTAGACTGGTTTTTGCTTCACGTTTGGTCTTGCTCTTCTAATCAGCCGCACTGTGGGAGGGGCTTGTGTTCGCTGTACGCAGGAAGGAGCGAGAGCGTGAAAAGGCGAGGGGCGGCGTGCTGACGTGAGGCAGATGGACAGGTAGGATGTTTAGGAAGTTGAACCTGCCCTGTGATGCACGCTGGTACACGAGGGCACACGCTGTTGCAGACGAGCCGTGCATAGGGAGCGTGTGTGTTTGTGATGTGCCGTAGAGTCTCCGCGGGTTTCAAATGAGCGCACAGGCTGCACTGAGACGCCCCACACGCTCCTGCACCCGCTACAAGTTTATTACCAACAGCAGCGGCCGTAATGAAATATGATCACACTTGTTGAGTGTCAGACCTTGAGTGAGAGACAAGACCGAGTCCAAACGCGATCGAGTCCGAGACAAGTACTAAGACACGACGATCTACCAACATGACCTTGGCGATCGACTGGTAGATCGGGATCAACGTATTGGGCACCCCTGATCTAAATGATTCCAGTGAAGGTGTATGGAGTGTAAAAACACAGTGGAGCACTTCTTGTATTACCACATGACGTCACAAGTTGGAACAGAGTGTTTTCTGTTTGAGAGAAGAACTCTGTGTGAAGAACTTTGTGTGTTAAACATGTGTGAATGAAGCAAAACACAAAAATAGATCATAAAATAGCATAACACAGGCCCTTTAAAGAAACTGTCTGTAAGATTTAATATTAAACATGACCCGTGTTCACAGAAACAAGGACATTTGTTTAAATCAAATACTGATAACAATTTGGCTGATTTATTTTTAATTACCAAAAAATCTGACACAATGTCCCACTGATGGATGATATAATTTGATCTTTTGGTCTTCTTCAGACGATTATCCAATCAGTCTCTCGTTTGGGTTGCCAGTTTCGATGTTAAAATCCAGCTGGTTTAAACATAAAATGCCTCTCTCTGATCTGAATGGACACTAAACCTCAGCACCTGCAGCCAGT